AAGAGAGTGCTTGTACAGGAGCACAAACAGGCAAAGGGATTTTAAACAGCTCCTATCTAAGGCTTACTTTATTATAATCAAATATCAATTATAAGAATTTTTTCATTTTTGTAGTTACTATTTAAATATTTAGAAATACTGCAGTCTCATCATGCCATCTCAAAAGGAAAAGTACTTCCCAACTACCACATATAATTTTTTCAGACACTAACTATAGTCTAGGTCTACACTGCTGCATAAGCCTTGGACTTCTGTGCTCAATTCTATTATTTTTAAGGACTCAAGCTCATTTTAAAAAGAACCCGTCTACTAATTGAATAAATTAATTTCAGATATTATTAGGTAAACACCAGACACCATTCTTTAGAATAGAAACTTCTCATACAGAATTAAAAGATTAATCAAAGATTAAATGTATAATAAAAAATATTTTAGAGAAGTTACAACCCAAAAAATAGTATTAAAATGGAGTAATACAGAAGCAATGAAAGAAAGATAAACAAGTGGCCATTTTATATTCAAAGTTAATTCCACCTAAAAGGAATTTGAGCATCTCAGCTATGACAAAAGGCTGGGGTAGCTGGGACAGTTTAGCCTGGTGAAGCAAAGGCTTGGGGGAGCAGGAGGGAATCTCATCAACACATATAAATACCTGAAGGGAGGGTGCACAGATGACTGAGCCAGGCTCTTTTCAGTGGTGCCCAGTAACAGGACCAGTCAATGGGCACAAAGTGAAAAACAGGAGAGTCCATCTGAACATCAGAAAACACTTTTTTTTTTTTAAAAAAAACTGTGAGGGTGACTGAGCACTGGAACAGGTTGCCCAGGAAGGTTGTGGAGTCTCCACCACTGGAGATATTCAAAACCTGTCTGGACATGGTCCTGAGCAACTGGCACTAGGTCGCCCTGCTTGAGCAGCGGGGTTGGACCAGATGACCTCCAGAGGTCCCTTCCAACCTCAACTGTTCTGGGAATTATAATCAGTTTTTTTTCATTAAAAGCTAAGAAAAGAAACACACAAAGAAAGGACAGATCAAATACTTAGGAAGCAGTGTTGACCATGGTATTTTTATGACTATATCAATTAATGGCTTCATCACCAAATGGCAATGCAATTCAAACAAAAATAATAGTTAAGCTTTGGGGGGGGGGGAAGAAATCTCAATTTAATGCAAGTAAATGATTATAAAATGCATTCTTAAGTTCTAGAGGCTATTTTACAGGAACAATTCCAGTGGAAGTCGAACACCTGGAGAATGGAAAGAACACATCCAACTATGTTTTCAGTTCAATTAAAAAAAGGTAACTGGGATGCAGTAAGAATTTCCATATCATGATGCTTCACAGCATTTCAAGGTCTACACGCATGGATCCATATACAGAATTCAAAAAAGAAGTTTTAATTATTTTCAAATCCACCCAGTGACTTGAAACAAAAACAATAAAAGACCTGCCAAAATCTCTAATGTCACTGAAGAGCTGTTAATATTACAAAAATGGGAAGCAGTGTTCATATTACAAAAACGGGAAGCAGAAGAGTACCGCTTTCTGAATCTGATACACATCTGGAGTGACTGTATTTCAGCAATTCTGACTGGTAAACATGTACAACTTCAAGCAACCTAGATGCATTTTAAATAGGATGAGTTTTACTTGAGCAAAATATCATCATAAATTTATGCTTGTCTACAATCCCACTTAACTATGTCAAAAGTGAAACTAAAAGTTGAAACAGGTCTTTGAACTTCATCAACAACTTGCTTTGATCTGTTATTACCGAACAAGGTGGGCAATAAGGATCTGAATTCAAAAACTGTAAAACTAGCATGTCTAACCTTTAGTCTGTAAAAATCCCTGCTCTTCTCATTTATGTGTCAAAGACAACATTTACTTTGCATCTTTTTATTAATTTAAAATAGAATTTATTTTTTATCTTACTAACTCATAGCACACTGAGGAATGAGTTCCAAAAAGACACAATACTAGTCAATGAACAATGGTATTAGGATCATTTTGGTGACAGTATTTTTGTGAAACATTTAAGAGAAACAAAAAAAAAAAACCCCTCCCAAATGTATTTTTTTCCATATCTCACAAATTAAAAAGGATTAGATAATGCCTGATTTCCAATACAGGTCATATTACTTAAGAATAAGGTAAAGAATTTACTCAGTGCTGAGTAAAAGAAAGTTTTTACTCCATGCTATGTTTCCTGGTTAATTTTTTACTCTATAAAATAGAGATTTTCTGATTTCTTCTTGTAAGTAAGAAGTGTGTCACATACCTGTTGCGTGTTTCTTTGTGACTGTAAACTGGACTGCAGCCTTCTCAACAGAGGAACACCATTCCTAGACAGTCTCTTAAGCAACCAGTAACTGTGCACTCGTTCAACAAACTGCTTCTTCCGCTGAATGGCCACCTGATTCATAATCTTATTTAATCTAAAATATGGAAAAACTGACATTGTATTTTTCGCAGCAAAGCATAAAAAATATTTGTCTATGGAAGTTAAACATCAGACATATATGAGATGTATAATGTTACAGCAGCAGCAATCACCGTATTACTACTTTCTTTCAATGACACCCCTTCCAGTACACTTATTTCCCAGCAGTAGGTTACAATCAAACACAGCCGCTTGACAATGTAGTTTCTACCAAATACATTAAGGTACTTTACAAAACTAAAGGGTATCAATTTTTTCATTATCATTATCTCAAGAGCAATCCCAGATTAAGGCTGAGAATAAAACTTTATGCGCATTTTAGAATTACCTTCCTGTTGAAAATAAAATCAGAAATAAAGCTCTAAATCCCTACAAAAGTTTTCAGATCATTTGTTGCCATCTTCACAATTAGTTTTTTTTGAAGACAATATATCTTCAGACTTTTTACACAAAAACATGCAACAAAAGGATTGTATTACTCATCTACTAATATTAAAGTTTTCGTAAATAAAGCGAACAAAAAATGTAAAACAGAACACTTATGATTTTACCACACACATATGATGAAAATATCCACACAGGAAAGATGCAAGAGAGGATGACACACACAATCAAGCACAACATCTTGATTAAATAGTATTTTTTCCAAACTTGTTTTTTACCAGATGCAAATACTGTTTACATATATTTTGTTTACAAATACTCTAGGAAAGTGCTGTATGAACATCACATGCAACAAACTTTGACTTTTTAAAACAATGACACATTAAAATGTCCCAAGTCTCACACAACACTAACTTCTCAAAACTTAGATTAAAAAAAAAAGTTTATCTGAAACAGATCTTTAACTCTCTGTGCCTACAATGTCTTGAAATCATGGCAAAAATGTAAAAAAGAAAGTTGATGGTTGTAAAATGAAAAGATCTTTGTAGGATATTGCAGGGATTTCTCACTGGTGGCAGCCCTTGCAAAATTAACACAAGATGGCCCAAGGCACCAACCACCTGTATTGTTAGGGGGACTGTTCATTCATTTGGGGGCAGTGGTGAGTTGGACAGAGAAAAGGATTTCCCCAAGCTGGACGCAAGACAGACTTAGAGAAAGGATAATATCAATGAACAGAAATCTGTTAATTCTGCACTCAGTATATTACTGCCCATAGAAAAACTCTACAGTGGATAGTAGGAGGTTTATCAGAGATTCTCCAATAAAACTTAATACCAAAATAGGCAAAATTAAATTCAAGAAGTGCCTGATTTTTCGACCACTACTGTGAAATGTTTAAATAAAAATCAGGAACATATACACATACTAGTATTTTTCTGCTTTTTCCCTTTTAATATTAGGAATAAAGCAGTTTCACAGGTTAAGTGGTAGAAGTAGTCAAATACCTAAACAAAAGGTAAAGCTGTAAGTAAACCTTGGTTAAAATGATTTTTAAGAACAGCTGAGAAACATGAATATTTTTCAGGCAGACATACAAGCGAGTCTACAAGTGAGTTCACCAACAGTCATCTACCCCTGGTTGTTTTTCCTGGGCTGCAGAGAAGGTAAGGAGCAACAGGTCTACTCAGTGCTACACTAACTGTAGCTACAGAGCTTTCAGTCATCACAGGGTAAAGGCAGAGCAAACACAGGTTTTCTTCAAAATACAGTGCCATTGTGTCCTTTGGTTCTTCAGTGACATTGTTTTTCAATGAATAACTAAGCCAGTTAGGCATTCTTGAAAAATTTTAGCTTAACTTAAAGCTTAGAAAGTCTGCAGATGGACTTAGGACTGTCTTGTAAGTCTTTCACTGAAGGGCAGAGGCAGGCTCCACGAAGACTTACTCAATGCAGAACAGGCCTTAATGCGACTATATTAAACTTTGAACACAACAGAATTACAATTAATCATAGAATGCAATCACAATCAAATAATTACTTTCACAGCTCTCTCTTGGAAAGGGCAAAACCTACCGAACTGAGCCAAAAAAAGCAGAGCCAAAAAAAGCAGAGCCAAATATATACGTATTTGGAAAGATCAGAGAATTGCAACTTAACATGAAGAAAGGTGCCTTGGCTTCACGCCCATCAGATGTGGCAAGACTAAGCAAACGTCTTTAATTACAGCTTTAACTACATTTGCCCATTCACATAACAAACCATTCTGTTCATAGATAATTATAACAGTAAAGTGTTAGAATAAGCTTAGGAAAGATGTTCACAGAAGATATTCTCCAACTTTAAAAATACAAATAAACAGAAGGTAATTTGGAGTGCAGAAACTACCTAACAATGGGTAGGAATCTACTCCTCTCTGCCTTCCCTCCAAATAAAAACAAATAAATATTGGCTGTTCATATTTCATTTAGATGCCAGACTTTGGTAGTGGCAATATGCCACCAATTGCCCCTTAATTTCTCAAAATACAGAAGTCAGAGGCTCTCCACATGGCAGGTATCTATGGAGCCTCTACACCATGATCATATTGACATAACAAGGATATTATACCTGCTGTTAGACCCTAAGAACGCACTAACTATAGCACAGTTCTTTGATCATCTTTTTGCTTAGTCATATACTCCCAGGTAGACTTTTACTGTCCGAAACACTTTAAATTTTGACAGACAATAAAACCATTTTGGGGAAATAAGAAACAATTTGTCCGCTGCTGTAGGACCCCAGAAGTAGCAGAGATTGGGTATTGAGTTTGAAGCTCCCACCCTTGAGAGCACTACCATATTGGGAAAGAGGTTCTCACTCACAAAGATACATTCAGCTGCAGGGAAGCTGAACACAACTATGAAATAAGGCACCTAAGTATGCACCAGTCCTGAGCAAGTTCCTTTCTGCTACCTGAGCTTGAACTAAATTTGTAAATGTTGAAATTAAATTTTCACTCCAGAATTTAGAAATTCTTTGATGTCTTAGAGGACCTTGCTGCACATTCCACTTCCTTTTTTTCAATAGAGAAATGTACTTTAACAGAAATTATTGAAGAGTAAAAAAAAAAGTATATACTTGAGGCAGGTAAGGGAGAGCTATTTGAAGACTTCATAGTTTTGCAATCCAGGATCTGACTTGCACAAGGCAGGATTAACTGCTACACTACACTGACAAATCCCCCACACAGAGGCAAGGCTTACAGAACTTAGGTCACCTCCCAGAACTACACAAAACAGCTCAGCAAAGGCTTTTTTTGGTAAGGTGTCAGTCCACCCTAGAACTTTATTCACGTTGTAGTGGGCAAGGTTTTGGTAGCAGGGGGGCTACAGGGTGGCTTCTGTGAGAAGCTGCTAGAGGCTTCCCCTGTGTCCAACGGGGCCAATGCCAGCTGGCTCCAAGATGGACCCTCCGCTGGCCA